AACCGGTGCCCATAAGGGATGCTGGTGCTTCAGGCCAGGGCATTAACTCGCTGCGCCACAGCGCCGGCCCCAGCCACACCATTTTGAAGAAGAATTTTGCCTGCTCATTCTTCATCCACACCTGCAGGTCTCTTAACTCCCAGCCTTGCCCTTGCTCTGCCATTAGTGCCTGCACCCCATTCTCCCATCCCCCAACCCTGATGCACATGAATGCATGAATGACTAAACAGACTCAAAATGGAGCCTCACTATTGCCCTTTAAAAAGGGTGCTGGTTGGCCCCGTCTCTCTGGGATAGATGGGCTCTCTGGCAGTATAAGAAAAGGATGTGAAGAGGGTCCCTGCACCCCAGGGCCCAGTTCCCAAAGAATATCTTCTTTCTCTTCTTTCTCCCTTCCTGCCCTTCAGGCATATAAATTATTGCAAAGTTGCAAGATTCAGTCTCTTGAAAAGCTTCTCGCAGCAGTGCCTCCACAACAGTATATGGGTGGTGGAGCAAGCAGGGGTGTTTATAATACAGAGCTTGCTTATGTGTGTGTGTGTGTGAAAGAGATAGAGAAAGACAAACAGACAGACAAGGAGTTTGGTTCTTGTTTTGCAGGTGCCTACTCTGTCCACCAAAAGGCCAATTCCATCTGCTCTGCAGTTACGATAATAGTGTGTCTTGTGGAAAAACTCGTTTCAGCCTTTCTAGGATATCCAATAAATACTCCCAACACCTCCTCAAAAAGAGGTGTAAAATAACTTCTTGTAACAGCACAAATCGTCTGATAACACAAGGAAAGGATTCACGAGAAACTTGCTGAAATTCCAACTGCCTCTCCTCAATAGTCCCCGGTCTTTGTGGAGATGAAGATTATGGTTGCCAAGGAAACGAGACCAGCGAGAGAAAGCCAGAAACTTTGTCTCATTTGGCTTCCCCAGGACTCACAAAGCAAAGGGCTATAAGCAGAACTGGACAAGATGATGGTAGATTCATAATTTACTTAGTCAAATCATTTTCAACTCACAGTCATGCCTCAATGTACATTTTTTTTCCTCTCTGAAAGTTAGGTTTTGCACCTAGTTGTCCAGTGCCTGACAAATAGCAGAGCTTTAAAATGCATTGTCTGTGATTAAATTCAAATGCAGGACAGATGGCTTAGTCTGAGTATGTGTCAGACAGACAAAGCACTTAAGATTTGCGACAGGCAAGACCAGGAATTAACTGCTAAGTTTTTGCACTTATTCCTACATTTCTGTGCACCACGAATATGGCTGTAGAACTTACTTAAGTGTCCTCACTTTATTCAAAATACTCCCAAACAAAGCAACTGCTCTCCTTTTGGCAAACCAGATGCCTTTCTCTCAACCCCATTAACTCAAAATCCATTTTTCTCCTGCTGCATGTATTGTGTGCGTTTCATTCACTCAGACGCTCACGACGAAAACAGCAACCTTCTGAAAACCTAGCTTCCCAGAACCCACAAAGTGGGTCCCCACTTCACTGTTGTGAAGCTTTTTATGAAAATATTTCATTATTTTATTGAACCGACATTTGTCTGTGGTGATAAACAACGACCTCAGCGGCTATTTGGCAACAGCTTGCTATAGCAAAGGAGTTGGCCACTGTCACTGTGTTTTGGCAGAGACTCAAAAGAAGACAGAGAAGAGGGGAAGCTTTATTAAAAAAAAAAAAAGGAAGGAAGAAAGGGTTCAGGTTGGAGTGGAGCTGTTTATGTGGCGAAGCCACAGGCGGGCTAACTGGAAGCAGGGCTTCCTGTGGGGATTGCTTAGGGGTACTTACCTGAATTTCTCTAGTTGGTTTTAAATTGGAAACAAAGGCGAAGAGTAGGGAAGATGTCAGTTATTCATCAAGTTCCAGCTGTTTTCTGGAGCTAATTTCTACAGGGGCTGTTGTTGGGATTGCTGGACCATTGCTGCAGGTATGAGCCTGTCGTCCTGAGTTTAATGCACGGAGGAGGCCAGCTTTGTGCGCTGGCAACTGCAGGTAAAGGGTGGATATGCTGGACTGGCTGCTGCCCGTGGAGGGTCACAGTTCTGGTTGCATGGAAAGGTCTGGCCACAGCTATTTACATGCTCAGTTGTGCAGTCAGCCAGTGTTTTACAAACAGAGAAGTACCCCAAGCATCAGTGGGCACTCTAATAAATTACCAGTGCAGCCACCACCAGGGAGCTGCATTTATTTTTATATATTTATTTATTTATTTTGAAGATTGATTTATTTATTTGAAAGGCAGAGTTACAGAGAGGCAGAGGGAGGGAGAGAGAGACAGAGAGAGAGGGAGAGAGAAAGAGGTCTTCCATCCACTGGTTCATTCCCCAGATGTCCGCAACAGCCAGAGCTACGCCATTGAAGCCCAGAGCCAGGAGTCTCTTCCAGGTCTCCCATGCAGCTGCAGGGGCCCAAGGACTTGGGCCATCTTCTGCTGCTTTCCCAGGCCATAGCAGAGAGCTGGAGCGGAAGTGGAGCAGCTGGGACTTGAACCGGTGCCCATATGGGATGCTGGCACTGTAGGCAGCAGCTTCAACCACTATGCCACAGCGCCATCCCCTCCTCATTTATTTTTAAATTGCCTACAACTTTGTCCTCTGAAACTGGTTGTGGAGGAACATTGGGTCTCAGCGTAGACACCTACTTGCTTTGGAAGGCCCTGGTCTGTGGTAGGGCCCCCTGGCTGCCGGCTTCCTCAGACCATCTCACCAATTTGTGTCTTCCAGTACTGATGGATCCAGGCAGCCCTGGCTTCCCCTAGCTGGGCTCAGCCCCGTGAGTCACCTGCCTCCACATTCCTGGACCTAGAGGAATAGCTCAGAGAGTGTGCCTTGACAGCCAGCTCTGCCATTCTGAGGCAAAGCCACTTTCTTCATCTACAAAATGGGGACAATGATGCTATCTGCTCTGGCAGGGCTGCTGCAAGGCTGTGTCCAGGTGAGGGGCAAGAGAACCCTTCACGCAGTTCCTGGAGCAGAAAAAGCCTTAGAGCTGCTTGTTCATTTCTCCCAATGGTGTGACATTATCCAAGACCCAGTGAATGCCAAGTGCTGCACTTGCTGCCCTCTTAACTCTTAATTATTAGCCTAATTCTACTATGTTATTAAATCTTTTTCAGAATCGAAGTCTACTATAGTCATGGTTAGCTTACAGATGAAGGAACTGAGACTCAGCAATATTAAGAAGTAAGTTCTCTGCACTATGCATGCTTTGTTGTGAGGATTCAGTGAAATGACTGTCAGGCGTGATCCCCAGCTCGCCGCAGTCACTCAGTACACAGGGCTATTGTTTACCACTCTTTGTAGCTGCCCAGCCAACACCTGGTTTCCCTTTCCCCTTATTAAGGCAGCCAGATACAAGTGTGCCCTCCGCCCCCGCTTCCCTTGCAGCTTGTAAAGTTCACATCACCAAGTTCTGGCCAATGAGATGTTAGTCTGAGTCTCCCAGGTAGGCCTTTTGGGTGAACTATTCTAATTCCAAGAAAAGGGGAGAGCTTCCTTGGCATATGCCCTTCCTCCCCTGTTGGTTCCCAAAGCCTGGGAAGCAGCTGAGGTTCCATGAGGTTCAGCTGCCATTCTGCGAGCACAAAGACCAAAGCCCTGAGCCCAGCCTCAGACAGCTGATGGCCTCGTTGCGGGTGCTTTCCCAACCTGCAGTGGTCTCACTACCATGGCCAGAGTTCTGTGATTCGCAGCTGAAAGTCATGTGCCTACCACTGCTGTCTGGGGTGATCTCAACATAGGACTTATTTTCAACCCTTCAAAGGATTAACATTAAGATTTCTTCCAAGTCCTACCCATAAATGCCTGCTTTCTTCTTCCTTGTCATCTGGTGCCATATGTAGGGTGTCATCCACAGGGTTTCCACGGGTCATCAGCACTGTACTCAGAACTTGAGAACTGAGCCGGGCCGGCACCGTGGCTCACTAGGCTAATTCTCCGCCTTGCGGCGCCAGCACACTGGGTTCTAGTCCCAGCTGGGGTGCCGGATTCTGTCCCCGTTGCCCCTCTTCCAGGCCAGCTCTCTGCTGTGGCCCGGGAGTGCAGTGGAGGATGGCCCAAGTGCTTGGGCCCTGCACCCCATGGGAGACCAGGGAGAAGCACCTGGCTCCTGCCATCGGATCAGTGCGGTGCGCCGGCCGCAGCGCGCCAGCCGCGGCAGCCATTGGAGGGTGAACCAACGGCAAAGGAAGACCTTTCTCTGTCTCTCTCACAGTCCACTCTGCGTGTCTGAATAAACACATAAAGAAGAGAAGAACTGAGCCACTTGCTCCTAAAGTCTTGCTCCAGACCAGCCCCACCTAGCACAGAACCCAGTGATCCTTTTGTCAAACCCAAGGCATCTGTTCTCTGGCATCTGGGTCCACATCCAAAGGTCATAATAGCATCATGTCCACTTGTGGGCTCTTGTACAGTTCCCACTAGGTAGTATTTATTTTCTAACCAGAAAAGATTATGCCTGGTATTGCTTGGCACACTGAAAGGGGCATCTCATTGTGACATGAAGCTGTCGGGAGGTGGGGGTGGGAGGCTTCATCCGGCCATGCATGGAGCCAGCCAGGACAGCTGTTGACCTGGAAGAAGCTGAGGGGTTAACTTCACCCTTTCAAGAATCAATATGCAAGTATTTCCACTTACTTTATTTTAAAGTGAATGTCAGTGGGTGAAAAGAGGACTTCACTCCAGGCCGTTCTATAGCTTTCTATTAAAATACAATCCACATGTGGGATACAAAAACTGAAAGTACACTGTGGTGAAGCTGCACGGTGTGTGGCTTTTGTAACCCAAGCTACGAATGACCTATCAATGAGACATTTTCCTTTGCTTAGAGATGTTCTCAAGGTCAGTTTTATTCAGTGAACAAAATAACTTAGGTAAATGTATTATGACTAAGGTGAAATGAAGCACATATAAATATACAGAAATGAACCTTGTGATAAAACAAGAGGCACAAGTTTTCAAGGCCTACAATTCTGCCATATTCAAATAAAGACTCCACACACACAATGAAGAGAAAATCTCTAATAATTTATTGACTTCCAGTTTCACATTGTGAAAAAAAAAACTTTTACAAAACCTCAAAAATGTAGTAGTAGCAAACAAGTACATACGAACATGAACATTTTACTTCAACTTATACGGGGTTTTGTGCGTGAATCATATACTCAACAACCAAGAGAGGGATATTATGTGGCTCTAATCACTCTTATTCAGACAGGTGTCAAGCCGGGAGAAAAGGGGCTACACAATTATACCAGAAGTGGAAGGCTGCCCTTTGTTGTCCGTTACTACGGCAACCAGGCCTCAAAATGAGAAGAACCCTCCCTGTCTTACGCCAAGGTTTTTGTGTGTCCTGTGCTGTGAATTGTATTTGCTTCAAAGTGTTGGACGTTTCACAGGGTGAGAATGGTCAAGTAGGGAGCCCAAATGCCCACATCAATGCAGAGAGTGGGAGTCCAGAAAGTTCCCCGCAGGCTGGGGGCCCACCCTCACCGCAGCTCCCTCTGGCTCTCACAGAGTCATTAACCGAGGATTCAAGGACAGACCACAACTTTGAAACAGCTGCAGAAAATCCAGCCTGCTTTCAGAAGCCACTCGCTGACATCCATCTCTGGTGGATTTGCATCCTAAGCTACAGGGCCCGCACTGCTGCTGGGTAACCATGCCGCTGGGATTGGATTAGACATTGGCACTGCTCAGAACACATCCAGGGACCAGCAACGGACTGCTGCCAAGTACAAAGATTCTTTTAGGCCAATGTTTCATTTCTTTTGGTCCCACTATATCCATGGCACACACAGACACGTACAATAAGCCTAACGCACTAAGGTGGAGAGAAACAGTAAGGATTTATCCATCATCAGACAATGCAAGCACTCACGATGTACGAGGATGTTGTCAGTCTTAAACCTTATTTTCTAAAATACAGCTATGTGAGAAACACCGACAAAAGCAGTTTAAGTTGCACACTTTGGCCTTCCCCAGACAGCTTTGAGGAAGCACCTTATTTGGGTCTAGCACTAATACCTATCACGGCACATGTTTAACAAGCAAGCACTCAAACTAGCAAAGAATGTATTCACAATCGAGTCCCGGCTACACCGGGAAATCTCAATAGGGGCCACTGCTTGCAATTCTTTGGTGTTTTGTGGCCAGATATGTGTCACTTCTGGGCACCAAAGAGATTTTTTTTAGAGATTCACCTAAAGGTGGGCGCTAGAGTATACACTGTACCAGTATGAAGGAATTAGAGGACTTCTAGCTAAATCGTCCAGCAGTAAGAGAGAGCACTAGGTCCAGGTCAAGGAAACGTGGATGGTGACTTAACTCACATTAGTGACACCTGTTTTTCTTGTTAGCTGTGGTTATGGCAAAGTATTCTCAGGGGGTAATAAATAGATAAATAAATAAACTTTGGACAATGACTTTACCTTGTGCTCTATATACAGAATGATTCCACAGAATTTTCCAGGATGTCAGGATATTACACAAAGAAAAAAAAAAACTGTAAAGCGATTTGGTCCTTTCCACATTTCAGCAGCTGAAGTTAGGTGAATCAGATGGGAGGGAGCAGGGCAGAGAGAAGGAGCCCCCTGTACCCCATCAGCCATCAGCCTGACCCTATCTCAGGAAACCCCATTAAAAGTCGGTGCATCTAAGAAAACAGACCTCCGCGGTTTACTCTGGGATGTCTTGTAAGCCTTCCCTGTCTTGGCATTTAATCCCGCCCTCCCCCCGCCCACCCCCACCCTCCAGTTAAACTCCAAATTGTAACTGAAAAGTTTTCATCTTTGTGCGGCAAAGCACACCTCAACAACCACAAAATGTGCAAAACATACAACCATTCACACAGGTCCCTGCACGTGCGGACCACGGTGAGGCATCGCTTCAGCATGCAGGCATCAAACAATAAATAGCTAGATCTGTAACACATTCTTAACGCTAAGGGAAAGTTTACAGTCATTTATAAATAGACAAGAACATCTACCAAAAGGCTCTCAACAACAGCCCCCTTGTTCGGAAGCCTTGCTGGGGAGTGCACAGTCCCTGGAGTCGGTGGTCCCCGTCCTCCAGCCAGCTCAGTCAGTGTCCCCCCCGACCCCCGGACGGCAGCTGGTGTGCAGCCTTCAAGCTCGCTCTTCAGAGAGAGGCGACAACCATTTCAAATTTTACACACAAATGGCGGAGCCCATGGAAATCAAACGCTGAATATGGTACAGCAAGGGAAAAGGTCCAGCTTTTCTCTCCCTTTGAGGGGCTGATTAATGCTGACATTAATCCACAATTACAAGACAAGGACTAGATCACAGTTCATTCATTCATATTTAAACCATGTGCTGCTTGCACTGGAAACTCCCACCCCCCCTCCTTCATGTCCAGTTAGAACATTTACAAGGTGCAGTGGATTTTACTCAAGTCTTGTAGCAACTTTTCTGTTTTCTTCCTCTTCATTAAACTTGCCTTCCTCTCCAAAGTAGAAATCTCATGCTGTCTCGTGGAGTGAGCTAAAATAGGAAAAGAAAAAAAAACACACACAAAAAAAGCATGAAGGATTTGTATTATTTTTGTTAGTAGGACATTTTAAAAACAGTTAAACTCAAGACAGAGCTGGATATTGCTTCTAAAGGTCTTCTAAAGGTCTTAATTACACGTCCAGTAGGAAATATGCAAAGATGGTAACTTGCCTTAAGCGCACATACATGTGCTTGCACACATGCGTGCAGACGGCTGGTCTGACCAGGAACAACAAACGGTGTCTAAAGGATTTCCAATTCTTTCCCAAACATGTGAGGGGGTCTTCAAAAGTCCATGGAAAATGCTGTCTTATGGAACTCAACTGTGTTTTGCACCAAAATAAACTTTATCTTTTAATCCCATTCTCCACAAACTTTTTGAAGTACCCACATCACACCTGGCCACCTCGATGCTATTATGCATCCCAACATTCAGGAACTTCATGTCTGTGGTTAAACAGAGCCACTGTAAAGTGATCACTAGGGGGCCAGTGGGAAGAGATTCCTGTGCAAAACCTCCTTGGCCACGTACCATAAAGGACTCCAAATTAAATTTATTCACCATATAAGGCAGATGTATTAATCCTCTTATTTAAATGCATCTCTGCTATTCATTATGGCAGAAATCAGTCTCGCTTCCTTTCACATAACAATACACCAGGCCTCCACAGCCCAAGGCTGGACTTTATTCTCAAAGTTCATTAGTCCACATTTAGGAGACTACGGGCTAAGCTATGCCAGCGCTATTATCTACAGAAGCCACAGGCATCGAGCCTGCGTATAAACTCTGAGTGCTGCCGTGAGCAGGAAGCGTGTGCACCGCACAGGAACTGGCCTTTGCCCGCGGTGCCCACCCCTCCCAGTTACTAACTTGAGTTCACAGGGGAATTTTGCAGAAGGTATTTGTCTTTAAAGCTTTCATCCTGTCTCTCCTGGGTCGTGTTTCCAGCCCTAGCACAGGAATCTACACCCCTACCGCTCTGAGGACGCACAAAGGGAATCCCGGAGTGCTCAGTGCTTGCGCTGCTTTCTTCTCGCCTTGCCTGTGTGTGTGCAGAAGTCTGATTCATTAGTTGTTTCCTTTGGCTGTTTCGTAACAGTGATTCAAGCCTTCAAGGCATTCCTTAGACTATGGTGTCACCACCCCACCCCCCACCCCCACCTCCCTGTAACCTATATATCAACATTAGGCCAAAAGAATGTGGCTTGTAGGAATACAAAATTTCAAACTCAAAAGAAAAACATACACACACAGATCTGAGGGAGAAGCAGCAAAGCTAATCAAGGTTTAAAGGGTTGTCAGGCTGGGGGGTGTCACACAGCACCATGAAAATAGAGGTAATCAAAGTAATTTCCTTTCTGCGCCTCCCACCCACTGACAGAGCAGCAGGAGTTACAATCTCAGGGTGGAGGAGCTTTAGACAGAGTGAAAACTCCTTGGAAACTGCATTCATTCAGTTAGCACCTCCCTTCGGAGAGCCAAGGGAAGGGTCTGTGGCCCCTACCTCCCCAGCACCTTCTCCAAGTCACTCTGTGGGCCTGCAGGTTTTCACACCGTCCTGTGTGTGGTAAACCTTAGAAATCTGAACTGACGTTCCTTCTGTGGGAAACTCAAAGCGTGGCTTTGATCTGGCCCTTGAACAGCAGCAGACCTGCCCCTGTCAAACTTCATTTTTATGTGCTCGGCTCTCACTGGCGGACGGAGGGTGAGGAGGGTGTTGTTTCCCACATAACCCAGACTGGCTCTGCTTCCCGGGGACCAGAAGGAGAGGGTGAATTCGGGTCTTTGCCAACATACTCTCTGTGGCTGAGACAGAGGGAACTGAAACTGAAGAATAAAGATGACAAGTAAACACAGTCCGAGAAACTGAATGTCCCAACCCACGCAAAGCCAGTTCCACTGCTGTGTCTCGGAGGAGGTTAGGGTTTATTTGAAGGAAAACTTAGAAGGGTATTGACCACAATATGGGCCCGGCATTGAGCAAGGTATTTCCACCCTTTTTCTCCCCACCTTCTCCTCAATTCACCCGTGTCTAATTGGGATGGATCTTAGGGGAAGTACGGTTCAAACCACTCACTCCACAGAGAAGCAGCCTGGAGACCAGGGTTCTAGACCAGAGGGTGCACATGGTCAGTCTCCTCTTTCACCCTCAATTTCCTTCCCCTGCTCCCATGACGCCAGTCTCCTACTATTGTTTTCCATGTCACTGGCCATTTTATGGCGCTTCTCTGCAAATATAGTCAGTTCTGGACTAACACCCAACTTAGTAGCTGTTAATTGATGCTTTTGCCGACGAGGTTCTTTCAACCTGCTTTAGCGTTGAGTCACACATTCATATCGCCAATGAAGTAACCATGTTCAGAGCTCTTGTTTGTTTAGGATTACTAACATGCCAGCAAGGCTGCAAAAACCAGTTTGGTCTGGGATGTTGTTGGCCCAGTGGCTCCCCAGAGAAGATTTCCGACTGTCCCAGCTCCTTTGAAGGCATGCATTCTGAGGCAACATTGCATTACTAAGAACTGCTAACTGTTAAGAGGCTGAGGAAATATACAAGTGAAAAACGTAGATGAGATCTGGAAAGCCAATTTTAATGATGTTTGTAAACAAACTGCAGGAGACAGAAGAAACAAGTTACCTTGCAAATACTCCTAGGTTACTGTTCTTCCCCTCTCAATTCACCTTTAAAGGTGTGAAGCACACCAGGGAAAAGAGAGCCAAAAGTTCGCAAATAATGAGTTTCTTTTCACTGTACTTTCTCCAAAGCAGTATTTCCTTCTCTTATTAGGAGTAGCAAGCCCATGAATCACCAAAACAAATCAACACAATCTGTGTCCTGTGTGCTGCGCTTACACATGCTTATGGGGCTCCTGGGCCCATCCTAGGAAGGTTTGATAGTAGTAAAGTGGCCTGGAGTTTTGTGAGCACTGAGCTGTGTTGGTCTGCACACTGGAGCCAAGGGTATTAAATACTCTTAAACACACAAGACAACCACTGTGTACTCAGATATGACACAGAAACACAGCTCTTGCTAGTCCTGATAACCGCATCGGCCTGAGTGATGAACTCTGAAGCAACCAGGCAGTTCAGGGGGCTCCGTCCTGCACGTCACACAGGTCTCTGATGTGCGGGCAACATCTTCCAAGGGCAGACCTAGATGCTCCTCTGAACACCCTGCAGGAGCTGGGTTTCTTTGAATAAAGAAATTATATAGACTAATAGATAATCTAGGAGAGAATAATCTATGAATGAATAATATCATAATGAAGATTTTCAACCTTATTTATTCCCAAAAGTATTTGAGGAAGCAAAATTTGAATTGCAAAGAGGTTGTCTTCCGGGATGCCTATATGAAGCTCAAGCTTATCAAGTCTGGGTTTAGCATGATTCTCAAGCATTTATGCTCTGGGTTAATTTCTTTTATTTTAAATGAAAAAAATCTTTTTTCAGAGACATAGAGAAAGTTTCCTTCTGCTGGATCAGTGCTTCCCACAGTGAGTACTGGCTAAAGTAGGAGCAGGGAACCCGGTCCATGTCTCCCACATGAGTGGCAGAGACCCAAGTACTTGAGCCATCACCACTGCCTTCCAGAGAAGTTGAAATCATGAGTAGCTGGGACTTGAACCCAGGCCTTTGGATATAGGATGCAGGTGTCCCAATCTGGTGTCTTAACCTCTAGGCCAAATGCTCGCCCCTGGTTGATTTATTTACCTCTATGACCTTGGGCAACCACTTACCCCCCACCTCTCTCTCTCTCTATATATATATATGTTTTTTTCCTCTGTAACATGAGGCTGGTAACATCATCCCACGGGGCTGTGGTCAGGATGAAATGAGATGATCCACAAAGAACAAATAGCATGGCTCCAGGCATACAGGAGAGGTTGCATAAACACTAGCTGGCACCGGCTATCAGAATCACTGGAAAAACTTCTCTTAAAATGCTGGTTCCTGGGCCCCACCCTACACCAAATAAAGCAAAGTCTCTGGGCTGGGCAGTTTTTGTAAACCTCTTCAGGGGACCCTGAGCCTCAGTAAACGCCAAGAACTGCTGACTTAGGTTATACGGCTGTGGTCAATAGGAACATTATGTTCTGGAGGTACAAGCTCTCTGTCTGAATGGCTTTTATAGGACTCCTGCAGAATAAGCTGTGGATCAGGTCTCACTCCCCATGTTGGACCTAGGCCTCAGGCCTACCTGCATGCAGCCTTCTGTCTGGAGCTAAACTGGCTTCTTACCTCATGCTCACTTCCTTCAGGACGCCGGTCACCTAAGAAGGCAGATGCTTCCAGGTGCTGACAAACGCCGTAGGGATCAGTGAGTACGGGACGGTGGTGATGCTGCTCCACACGTCTAACGTCGGATCATAGCAGTCCAGGGTCTTGCATCGCTGAATGCCGAAGTAGCCTCCAACCACGTAGAGTTTGTTTCCGGAAGCCACAGCGTGGCAGCTCATGCGTTTGGCTGTCACGTCTCCCACCTTGGTCCACTGGTAAGTCTCACTGTTGAATTTGTAAGCAGAGCAGGCAGAGAACTCTGTGTCTCCTCCCATAATAAAAATCTGGTTCCCCAACACAGCTGCTGCTGTGTAGCGCCAGGGCTGGGGACAGGTGGCCGGTACCGTCCACCTGTTTTCACATTGATCGTAACACTGAACCTTGGGGAGCTTGTCATGACTGACACTGGTACCCCCAAAAGCAAACAACTTGAGCTTGGCACTCACGACAGCGGCATTGCTTACGCCCTCGCGGAGTGGGGCCACCATGGTCCATTTGTTGGTTGTGGGGTCATAATGTTCTACTTGCTTTAGGGAGACCGACGGGGAGGCTGGGAGACAACCCGTAGCGGCCGTGTGCCCCCCGACCACATACAGGCAGTGCTTTAGTTCAGCAGAGCCATGGCCAAACCTGGCCACCAGCATGGGGGCAGCTTTGGACCACTCCTCGTGTAGGGTATCGTAAACCCAGACATCTTTTGAGACTCCGTTTTCAGACCCTCGCCCCCCAGTAATGTATACTTTGCAGCCAATCGCACACGCGCTGAACTCTTTTCTTGGGCTGGGAATGTCAGCCTTGGGAATGATTTCTTTGGCCTTCTGGTCTACTAGATACAGCTTGTCACACATGAAAGTCTGCCCCCCCAGGAGAAAGAGGGCATGGCCGGTTTTCCGAGGCCGGGCACAGAGGCTGGTGACCACACCGTCGTTCTGCAGGATCTTCAGCTTGCACCTGATGGCCTCTTCCACGATCTCCTTGCTCTTCCTCTGCTTGGTGATGAGCTCTTCCATGGCCACGTTCTCCATGAGATAGATGGCCGGCAGGAGTGCCAGCCTCACCGTCTGCAGCAGTTCTGGGAGGTAGCAGTAACGCTTCTTCAGGTCGTAGCTGATCCAGTTAATTGCAGACTCGTACACCAGCCTTTCATCTTCTGTCTCCAGCTCCTCACTGGACAGGAGCTGCACGACCATGTCCTGAGGCAGCTGGAGGAAGTCTTCGTTCTTCCGGATGGTCTGGAAGTTGCTGAGACACATTCTCCAGGAGAGCTCGTACAGCTTGGTGCACTGGTGTGCGTCGGACAGCAGCAGCATGCCCAGGCAGTTGGTGGGGTGCAAGTTCTTCTCCAGGAACTCGGCACAGGCATCCCGGATGTCCTCAAACTCCAGCATGTCACCAGCCTCCAGGAGCGATTCTGCATTCTCCTCGTTGATGATGACCCGGGAGGAGTACGCATAGTCGAGGAGAAGCTCTAGGACTTCTGGGTGGATGGAATTGTCGAAGTTCACCTCGCTGTCCTGGCTCTCTTTCAGGCCGCCGCTGAACATGGCTTCGAAGTAGCGGCTGCATGCGGCCAGCACTGCCCGGTGGCAGGGGAAGGTCCTATTCCCCGCATGGAGGAGGACGTCGGTGAAGAGACGCTGCTGGCGTAAAAGGTTGAGGTGGGTGAGGACGCTGTCGGCATAGGAGGACTTGTGAAACAGGTAGATGTTGATGGAGCCGCTGCTGGCCCTGGACTTGCGGTTCTCATGCACGCTGACTGACATTTTGTTTCCACTCCTAAAAAACAAAGCCACACCTTTGAACAGGATGCTCTGAAAAGCAGGACAAGGGCAACAATCATCCTGGACAAAGAAAACAAAACAACTTGTTGCTATCTCGAGTGCCAATGCATGGCCATCCCAGTACAAGACAATGACCTGGAAGGGAAAGCTTTCATTTAAAATACTGCTGGGCCATAAATCATACACTGTTAAAAAAAAAAATCCCTGCTTAAAAGCAGGTTCTTCTTGGAAAACCTGATTGCCAACTTTGTGGATACTGAGGTCCTTGACTATGTCAGTCAGGGAAATCCAAGAGGAGTGAAGTCTCCTTATAGCTCTCTGTCTCAGTCCAACTGATTCACTGCAGGCCACTTAAAATGCCAGGGCTCCTGCTCTCGTAACGCCAGCATGGGCACCAGCTTTAATGCCCTATGCAGCACAAAGCCATGTGTAAAAAACAGATACCTACTAATTAATTCCATTAAGAATTCCTTTGGGGCCGGCGCCGTGGCTCACTAGGCTAATCCTCCGCCTTGTGGCGCCGGCACACCGGGTTCTAGTCCCGGTCGGGGCGCCGGATTCTGTCCCGGTTGCCCCTCTTCCAGGCCAGCTCTGTGCTGTGGCCAGGGAGTGCAGTGGAGGATGGCCCAAGTCCTTGGGCCCTGCACCCCATGGGAGACCAGGAGAAGCACCTGGCTCCTGCCATAGGATCAGCGCGGTACGCCGGCCGCGGCGGCCATTGGAGGGTGAACCAACGGCAAAAGGAAGACCTTTCTCTCTGTCTCTCTCTCTCACTGTCCACTCTGCCTGTCAAAAAGAAAAAAAAAAAAAGAATTCCTTTGGTACAATCCAATCTGCCAACATACACAGTAAATGGCCAACTTCTGCTATGGTCTAGACCTTTATTTCAATGTTACAGATAATTTCTAACCAGACAGCTCTACCACTACGGGATTCTAAAAGCACCCCGAGATAAACACGACCATATACTGATCGGTGAGCCTTAGTGGATGCACACAATAGATTCTGGCCATAGTTGCCACCCATCTTTCTTGCTCTGGATAGCTTCCAAAGAAGGATTTGGCCCACACAAAAGGAAGAATATTTTGAGTCGCATACTCGTGAGTGCTGTTTTCTGTTCTTCCTCCCTTATACCAATTCTTGGAAAAACAGTTGCAAGAACAAAGGATCAACCTACCCTTCTCTTTTGATTAAACAGTACATTAGCGGGACTGTGTACCTGTAAATGATGGTACCTGCATACAAGAGTTCAAAATACAAACAGTGCTTTATTTAAGTCAAAACATACACACAGGCACACATATCTGTGTGTGTGTATCACCAGTCACTGTTAATTTAGGGCCACCCTATAATTTATTTGCTGACTGAAGTGTTTTCGTGGGTCTGCAAATTGAAATCACAGCCAAACCTGAAGCTCTCCTTTGGCTTTCTTCAGTACAAAAACCTAAGGCAAACATACAGGAAACGCCTATCATTTGTCTTCAAAAAATGCATCACGGCCCTGCTCCCTTTTTAACACTTCCCCTGTCACTGTAAAGGAATAAAGCAATAAAGCCCTCAAGAACCCGCCTGTCAAAGGATTCCTAAGCAGGGTAAAACTGGGTGCGTGGTTACAGTATCTGTTCCAAACACAGCCATTCAGGTATTTTCAATGGATGTCCCAGGAATTAGTAATAAATGCAACCGGAATGACTTACCACAGAGTCATCGGCTAGAATGTGAAACTGCACTTTCCTGACCAGCTGTGAGGCACACAGCACAGAAGGGAAGAGCCTAGAACACAATAAAGGCAGGTGCCTAACATGCCTCAGACAAGCCACATACCATCAGGTGATGCAACTTGCTTTCCTTTATTTGGGGCATGTAACTTTTTGGGCTGGGTAAACAGGGCTTAGTGGAAGAAAGTAACAAGAGTCCAAGAGTCCTCCAGTAGCCAGGGAGGGAAGACTTTCTTTACAAAGAACCAGAAGCCTCCACAGTGAGAAAGCTTAGGAAAAATGACAAGCAGCCAAGGGTTACTCCCACTTCAGGCTAAGCCCCACTGTCTAGTCCATTTTAATGCACTGCAGAAGAACCCACCTGAACCTCTGTGAATGCACCAGGTACCCAAAGTATTATAGCACATATTAGCATCCCTGATGATCCACCACTCCTGCAGCTGTCACTTGAATTACTTACTTTCAGCTTGAAATATTCTGAGGAACACTGTGAGCCTAAACCTCACAAGATGATCTAAACACTCCTGTGTAGCCAGCTGAAGAAGGGAGCCCAGTGCCATGGACTCACGCTGGACCACCAAGGGTTTTCCTGCATATTAGACTCCCGGTGTACACAACAGTTACAATTCAGTTTGCATTTCAGAAAACAGTTTGCTTAAAAGACCTCAGGATACAGGATCTGCATCTCCGGGCTCTGCTCCTGTCTTCCAGGTTGGCCCAGAGAGCCAGAGGCAAGACACTAGCCTGTCATCTTGGATACCATCCAGATGGAAAAGCATACCACAGTCAGAATCTTAACATTCTGGCAGGAATGTATGATTAAAATAAAACATAAACGCGAAGGCTCAGGGGAAATGACTTGCTTTCTGGTTTAGAATTATGCAAACATGAACATATCAGGAGACAGGACTGAAGCCACTAAATACACCTTCATCAAAAAAGGAATCATCCTTGCAGCATTTTTTAAAGCCCCCAGAGACATATTTGCATACCAAGTGAGTGGCGACGACACGCACACATATACTTAACCTGCGTCTACAAAGGCAGAAAAGGGCTGCTATTACTGTGAACATCAAAAGGGCTTCTAGTTACAGTACGCTCGGTTCACGCAGTGCTTATGCAGGCTCCCTGTCTCCCACACGCCAGCAGGCTCTCCAGATTTTCAACCTGATCTCGACCCAATCAAAGGAGAAAGCGGGCAGATTTTTCTCGGACTTCTGCGTCATTGCTAACAATGGGTCAACATTATAAAAATCTTGTTCACACACACAGCTTTCGCCATATAATCCTCTGTAATAGTCGAAAGGCTACTTAACTCGCCGGCCAAGCCCGTGAGGGCAACGCCAAACTCCAAGCCTAACAAGTTCAATGTTTCATCTCTACCCCGCCCACCGATTCCTATCCTTTGAACCTGGTAAGGGAACACCAAAAGCCGACTGCTCGCACAGGAAAAACACTAGTTTTGCAGAAACCAGTTTTCATTCATTTCCTGCAGACATTTCTACCCACCCCCCAACGCGCCCGTGAACGCGCTCGCACTAGGGGTGTCTGGTTCCAGCTCTCCCCCGAGACCGGTAGGGCGCAACGTGGGCAAACCAGCCCTCGTGCTGAGCCCTGGAGGCCGCAGACAGCGAGACTGATCTTATCCCTGGCTAGGCTCCGCGATTCCCCCCGCGGCTCGCCGGAGTTTCACGCCGCGGAGAGGAAGCCGGCCGGCCCCTCCGGCGATGCCCTGCTCCGGCTTGCTGTGGTAGAGGCAGCGGCGGGCATCGGGAACAGCTCCCCCAGCCCACGCCGGGAGCCCAGAGGCCCGGCGCGTCCTCACCCCTCGCGAACACACCCCCCGCAGGCCGGGCGGCACCCGCAACAGGTCCCAGGCAGTGGAGGAAACTTACAGCGCTGGCGACTGCCTGGAGCACGACCGGCTGAGTGCTAGCCTCGGTCACGGGCGGGGAGCCGACGAAGCGGGCGTCTCAGTCCCGGGAAGCGGCGGTGGCGACTACCCGGGAGAAGCGATCGCGCATGGGGCGCCCGCCGGGGAGAGAACCGCGCCGGAGGCCGGCTACCGCTGGCGGCTCGCCTCGGCCTCACGGTCTCAGGCCGCGGACCCTGTGCCCAGGACCCGCGCGCAGCGTCTCCCGGAGCGAGTCTTGGGAGGGCAGAGCGAGCCTGCGGCTGCAGGCACCGCGGAAGGAGGCGGGCTGTGCACTGGGGGAGGGAGCCAGAAAGCGCCTTGCGCCGGGCGGCCGCCTGGCGTCTAGACCCGGTCTCCACAGCGCCACCACCGCGCCGCCGCCGCCGCCGCCGTCTCCCTCTCTCTCCCGGGCCGAGAGTCTGCGCCCGGCCACCGCGAGCCGGGCTATAAACGGCGCGGCGGGGAGGGGTGGAGAGAAAAGGGGGGGGGGGGGCCCCAGTGCCCGAAACTGACATGGGGCCTTGGGGGGGGGGGGGGAGAG